CAGTTATATACAAAATGAAACTGCTAACGAAAAAAACCTTATAAAAAATTTGAGGGGCACCCCGCAGACGACAACTGCGAAACTCCTTTCCCCGGAAGTTCCTAATGTGAGCTTTCAGTACGCGCTCACTGTCTTATTAGTACTGGGAATATATTATGAGTTATCCTACTCAAAATTCTTAAATTCCTTTCTTAGAAAAAGAATTATATCTATTTAAGAATAGAACTATTGCAGATTCACAAGGCGTCCTCAAACATTTCTCGCAGAACCACTCTTCGCAGGCAGAACAATAAACTAGACTTTTGCGTAAACCCTTTTTCTTCTTGCGATGTCTCCTCATTTTCCGATAGTTTAGCCTAAGGTTCTCTAAACACCTACAGCAAAAATGCGCATCGTCGTTTCTTCCACTGGCTGGACCGTTTTCTTCTCCGCCTTCTACGATCTTTGGTGACGCATGACTGAACCGCTTCTTAAGAAACCTTAAAAAGCAAGTGTATGACAAATCACTGTTGCGCCTGGAAGCTAAATTTGATCATCAGCTCTTATTAACATTATTTTAAAAGAGCTAAAAATTGAGCCAGTATTACTGCTGGCTACTTTTGTTCTAAGCAAGGAAAAAACACGTTACTGGATATGTGCAAGTGCTATGATATGTCCAGTTTTTTCGTAAAATAAATTTTCATTGGTTATGTCTTCCGGAAACGTTCCCCTGAGCAAACGCCGTAATAATCTGGCTTGTAGTTCAACATTAAAATCATATTTGATTGCGAAATCTAAACTAATTAGGAGGTTTCGAGGGTGATTCATATCATTTTCTAAGTCGTCTTCCAAAACCTAAAGAAGAAAGAAATTTAAAAAAGAAAAAAGTGAAATTGAATTGATCGAAAGATATATACATTTGCTGTATCTAATAATTGTGACCGAGAAGACTTACTTTCTCACAGCAGAGTAACAAATTTGGCATTTCCAATCTCCTGGCTAGCGGCAGCAAAACTGGAAGATGAGATACTAAAAGAGGATTAATTTACTTCGATAAATATATGCCTATATCTTTAAGCATCTCAAGATCAGAATATACTTGAATTCAAATAGAAATTATAATGAGAAAATTTTTCTACCACCTTGAATGCAGGAAAAACATGAATTATTTGACTCAATAACTTCATTATATACGAATTTTCAACTCTGCTTTATGCAGAATAAAGGGGCTTACAAAGTATTGGAGAGGGATATAGTTGGTACAAGTTTGGACACACACAGTTTAATAGCAAAGTCATATCATGCACATTCAGATCGTCGTAGTTCATTTCGCCATACAGATTATTCTAAATCCAACGACATATTTCAAGTTGCTAGCCAGATGAACGTAAAATTGCTAACGGCAGTCTTCGTCACCACCTTATCAATTTCTTTTATAAGTCATGAAACCACAAAGTTTAAATCACTTGCCGTCTTTTCAAAACGCCGTTTGAAGTCCGCAGACAACGTTTGAAAAAAATATGGATTAACGTAAAGCTGCTCCTCATCGCTTAAACGCAGCAAGAAAGTTCTTTTTCCTTTCTGCTCTTTGAAGTTTTCCTAAAGAAGATTTCTGAACCAGAACAGCTTTGCACATTATATACTTTGCTAAAATTTCTTACCTTTGACTTATTTGGAGCCAGACAAATTCCCGGAACGTGTCTGCCACCGCCACTAGTGAATAGCCACATATATCTATCCCACAAATTCCCTTTGAGCTCGTTACGAGAATTACAATTATGCTGGGTGCCAAGCATCCTCTCCTCCCACTTAATTCTTTAGCAGTATTCAAGATTAGTAGAAGTATAAGTTTGTAAACAAAGCCTCAACTCAAAATTCCTCCTGTCGTTAAGTAGCGTAATTTTTTTGCGGCAGAGGAGGCATACAGTGATTTCTGAAAGTTAGACAAGTGATGAAAACTGAAAGAGACAATTAAAATATAATTTTAATCGGAACGATGATCACAGCGAAACTTTCGATAAACTAATACAACCATTCCAGGAAATTCAATAGAAACAAATTCATTCTATTGATACACGAGAATTAAAAATTTGGCAGTTGCTAAAAGCTCATGCAAGCGATGCTAACAACGTGCAAAGAGCTTGTAAGAAATTACTGTTCCGCAATGTGCTTCAAAACTTTTAAAGTTAGAAATAGTGGTTGCAACATATATTATTTTTTATTATTCTCAAAAAAGAATTCTTCCCACCTCGAAATGCAGATAATAAAAAAAACTTGTGGCAATAAAACACAGAACTTAATTCTTGTTTCATGTATTTCTGAGACAATTCCACTATATTTGACCCTGTTACTGCATTACTGCGTCTGACAATAAGAAGTCGGAAAAGCCTTATAAACACCGTTTCAAAACTACATTTAAAACCTCAGAATTATTTCAGCACACTTATTTGGCAATGTAAACTTCAATAGCTGCAGAACTACACAGAACCAGCTTGATCCTAATGAAATTTTTTGGCTTCATAGTTTAAACGTCTCGCAGTTATTGCATGTAAGAAACATAAGAACCGATGCTACCTACAGACCTAAGTTATGTAGAATTTAAACGAAAAAATAAGACAAGTTTTCTTGGTTCATAGAAACACCAAAACTTTTAGCTGTTGAGTTTAACACCTTTATAATGCTTCATCCTTCTCCAGCACTGAAGTTTCTTTTTTCTTGAATAGAACCAATATACCTTATCAATCACCTTGTTCTGCAAATTTAATCGTTGACTAATGAGTTTTGTTTTTGTACAGTAATTATTATCTCCTTAGAAGTTGTCAAATAAAATAGCAATAAATAGACATTACTCTGCATAAAATTGATAAAAAATGACACCGTATTGAATTTAATTTGAGACTGCATTTAAAAAAAACTTCTCAGTTGTTATCACTTTTCAAAAAACTACCCACCGTAACAAAATACGTGTGGTGAAAAAATAGCCCAAAAATATTTGGAAAAGTAAAGCATTTTACTGTTTCAGAATTTGATAGCCTATACAAATGGAACCTTTTCAGCTGTCATACTGTAACACCAGATATTAACAGGCGCAAAAAGAACTTGGAAAAAAATGATTAAAGAAAGTGTAATTGCAAAAAATTGTGGTGAACAGAAAAAAGAAGTTAGTGCGATTGATAAGGATTAACAATAGAAAAGTGTGACTTCTGTCAGTAAGTAACTAGATATGCATTGACAACAAAGAAAAAAGCACTTTGGTTGACCTCCTAAACAGAAACAGTTCAGCTTCCTTTTAATACCAATAACCCTCAAGAATATCGGGCCACACGCACTAAACTGGACTTCAGTAGTTCAGCCGTCGCGTAAGACTTACTAAGATAAAAAGAAGTAATGTCCCCTACTAGTCAAATCTTTGTTATTCTTTCTGTCAACTTTTTTCAAATTTTATTTAGTCTCATTTCAGAATAAACCTTCTTCTAACAACTCCTGAAAAATTCCCATTACTATTCATTTTTCTTTAATTACCTATTTCTATCTCGGTATAAAAAAGTCAACAATTAAAATTCAGCGCTATTTTTTGCCTTCTACCAAAACCACTTGATTCAGCTATTAGCTTATACTGAAGATGTTTTACAATAGTCTAGTTATCCTCAATTCTTAATTAAATCAACTCTGGCATAAAGCACAAAAGCAAAGTATAGCTTCGACTTTAGACAACAACAGTAAGTTTTCACACACATATAAGTTGCTTATTATTGAAACCTAAAGTAACCAAATGAGTAAAGAATGTTAACAAACAATAAAGAATCACAGCTATAAAATTTTGTGGCAAAACAACCACTGTACAACTATGACCAAAACTATAACAACAGTGAAGACAGTCCGTCAGATATGATTTCTAAGAGTAGAAAGAAGCAAAAATACTTGATAACTGTAAAAAAAACTATTTAAATAATAACAGACAACTTTGTCCTCGCGTTTTTTATTCTCGTTACCAGACAGAAGACATCGTCTTAAGAGCGAGACTTTCGCCGAAACCTCAAGGCGATCGCGTCTACAAATTATAACTGTTATCTGTCGCTCATCTCAGCTTTTGTATGTCTGCATCAAAAAAAAATTTACCAAGTAGTTTATTTTTAGATAACAATAGCCTAAATTTTTATACACATATATATTATTTACTATTAAAAGGAAAACTGACCATATAATTGAGGAACGTCAACAAACAACGAAGAATCATGGCTATATAAATTCCCCGGTAAAACAAACACTATATAAATATAACCAATACTTTAACAACAGTAAGAACAGTTAAAGAAAACTTTCTATTAGACTTCATTCCTAAGGTAAAAAAGAAGCAAAAAAACGTAATGACTGTAGAAAAAAATTCTCAAATAGTGGCCCACTAAACAGCAATAAATAACAGAGTCCGTTCAGTCTATAATTTGTCTTTTTTTTGACAGTAGATCTACTTACTGCCTTTTCAGTAAAAAAAAGAAACAGTTTGAACAAATATAACAAAAATATCAGACAACTTTGTCCCGTGTTTTTTAACCTCGTTGCTAGAATGCTGTTGGCTAAAGATGCGCCAACGACTACGTCCTTGACGAGGCCATCACAGAAGACATCGTCATAAGAGCGAGATCTTTGCCAAAACCTCAAGGCGATCGCGTCTACAAAGTATAACTGCCATCTGTCCTTCATGAAAGCTTTTATATATGTCTACACCAAAAAAAAGTTACCTAGTAGGCCGGAATAAGAAAAATAAGAAAAATACAAACTCTAGAAAGGTTTAATGCAATAACAGCTCACTGATATTCCAAAAATCCGAGAGTTTAAAAAAGCCAGGTTAAGTAAGCAGATATTTGTTGCTTTTTACTAATACTTGCACCTTTTTGCCTCTGATAATCGAGACCGGTAGATACATAAAGTTTTATTTTGAATTTTTTCCACTGTCGGCTTTTTCCTGTATAATCTACCGGTTAACAGACTCTGCTAGTCTAAAATAGCAGTAGCTAATTAACGTTTGCTGATCCTTAGAAAACAAAAAAACATTAACAATTAAAAAGCGAATTTTCAAATTTTTTTCACCATTCCCAATAAAACAGACCATGAACAGAACAAAAATTTACAAACGCTTTCTAATTTTTTTTTGCCAGCTACTTATTTCTGGCAGAAAAAATGAACTGGTTAGATAGGAATGATATTAATCTGCATTGAACCCTGAAGTAGACCCGTTTGTGGTGAAAAAATTCCATTTATTTGCAAACAACTTCAGCGCAGCTTTCGGGTCTTCCTCAGTTCCGTTTTTTCTTTTTTTCGCTTTTCTTTTTTATACAAATGTCGTCAGTGTTAAGTCACTGCCGCTATCAGGTCTTTTTTTTTGCGCTTAGAACAAAATTATGAAGAAAATGAGGTTAATGACTGAATATACTTTCTGTTTGATGTTTTCAACTAACAAACAGTTGGAGAGCTACAGTAGTCATTTGTATTTGTTACCCCAAACTTTATCACTGTTTTAAAAGGATTCTAAGGAAACGACGACAAGATCTGCTGACACTGGAGTTGTTTTTCAATTAATTTTGTACCCCCCTACAGTAGACTGTTGAGATTTCAATTACATCAGCGAAACTGTTGGATTTCCGGATGTTACCCGCGGGAGGAAAAGAAAAAAGTTTTTAGTGTTCACTTTTTTAGGTTAAATTAGAACTATCGACACACAGGAAGTATACAATGCAGTAATGTCAATAATATTTCTTATTTTATATTAATGATGCTGTCGGAACAAAACTGTTTTGACACCAGCTGCAATATGGTTTATTTGGCCGTAGTTCACCACAAACAGCACCAGTTTGATTTACACTGCATTCTTTCTCTTGTAAACAATTTTAATCAATGAGGCCTATCCACTTGTAATTTTTGAATGTGTGAAAAATACTTTTTATTTTTCAAAATTAACGTCACAATTCTATTAGTAAAGAACAAAAATAGATGCAACTGATACAATGTGTTTAAACGCTAGTTAGAGAAAGATCCCGAAACAAGCAGATAAAGTGATAGCTCCAAAATGAAGTCAAGCATTTTTTCCTTAAAAATAAATCTAATAAGACAGTTCTCTGTTTACAAAAATTACTTTTGAAGCGTGATCAACAATTTTCTTTAGCTTCAACTGACGTTTCTCAGAGCTTTAAAAAAAAAAACGGTTTTTTTTGTCGTCATCGTCTTTTTTTTTTGACTCGTGAACTTTAAGAAATACCATTTTAAAAAATAATTTTTAAAAATTCTGAAAAAGCATCCCTACAAGAAAGATCGTTCCAAACTTCAACAGCAATAAGACTTTCAAAATTCGAATACAGATGGCAAAACATAACAGAGCAAAAGGTTCAAATTAGAGCGGAGAATGTTTATTCAAGTAATACACAAAACCAGGCGTCATCAGGTTACATTTCCTCTACTCCTGCTGAAAACAGTTCCAAAGTTTAAAATCAAAGACTTCTAAAAGGAATGGTTAAAGCAACGTTCCGTAAAACGTAAACTTTCGATTCCACCTTCCAGAATACAAACCCTGTTATAACCCGCTAATATGCATCGGTTTGCTACCTGAAATAACAAAAAAGTAAAAAAAACCAGCTTAATACCCTAAAACAAATGGAAAGTCAACTATAATGAAGGCTTTGTGAAATTATTACTGCCCTCTGCGACTTACAGTGCTGAAGTACCATAAGCAGTCAAAAATATTGAAATGTTTACTCCTTTTAATGGCTGTTTCTTAATTAATCAAACGCTGCTGCGTTAGTGAAAAGTTAGTGGATATTCTAGATAAGGCTAATGATACAGAGCGTTGCAATTGCAAAGGGCATAACACAATCTTTTAAAGAGCTTAAATGTCCTCTGATGCGACTGCAGTTGCAGCGATCATCACGACACAGCTGTCAGTAAGGTTCCTATAAATCCCATAAAAGAAAAGTTTTATTCTACAAGTACCATCTTTTCAAGCAGTACGTTTGGAGTTTGTGTGTTCCCTAATGGCAAATACAAGTTATTTTTCTATTCAAACTATTTTATTACAAAGACTGGGCAGGCTCATTAACGTAAAAAAACGGAAATACGCCTATTTCTTCTTTGCGCTTCAAACCTTTCCCACAATAAGGCTCTATACCTATTAAATTCAGTAGACTAGGACTAATAGAAGCAACACCTCAGCCTCTTAGAAAATACCATATGCTCTGCCGAATTTTCACTCAAAAAACGTGGCTATCTTCCAAAAAACACTAAGATTGAGCTAAGCATAAAGCTTGTCAAAAAATTTTGAGTGAAATCTATTCCCGTCTTCACTCTGACGCTAATTATTATGAATGTGACAACCCCAAACGTCTATCTCCCCGAACCGCTCACCACCATTTACAACAACAGAATTAAAGTTTTGGCGCGTTTGGAACTTAGGTCAAGCAATGAGAGAAAACTAATAATTTTATTCCTAAAGTACTGCTTTTTCACTTTGAAATGAAATGACTCAAAAAGTTTGATATTAAATTTCTTCCGATTCCCCTTCTCATGTTTCATTTTTCGTGCACGTCACAGTGGTTTTTACTATGCCCTTAAGAGGCGTATGTTGCCCGTACGTAATTAATAGCAATAGCATAGTAAAATTTTTAATAACACTAGCAATAATAATAACTGCAATAGTGATGACAGTAACAATAGTGACGGTAGAAATAGTAAGAACAACAATAATAAAAACAATAATAAGAGTTTAAAAACTACAAAATTTCTCAAACCTTATTGGCAAGGTGTGCATTTCCTACGATGACGATAACGTGCTTCGCATTCTGTGCAATCTTTAAAGCAGTAGCAATCATGTCTAAAGGCTCCACATCTCCGTAAGGATAGTTCACACTTCCAGCCAACGATTCCCGGGAAAATCTAAGAAGTTCAACAATTCAAAAAAAGAGCAAATACTCTAGTATAAACAGATAATGTGCAAAGTAACGAACTGCCTGGTAACAGAAAATGAGTCTTATCCTGTAACATTACCAGTTTTTTAAAAAGAGCATCAATTTTAAGGAAATAAAGTTCAGAAGACTACTTACTCTTGCTGAGTACGAATATCAATAATAAGTATTGATGATGCATCAAATAACCGTAGAAAGTCGTCAGGAGATAAACGAGGACAGCTAAACTCTTTTAACTCTTCAACACTATAAGCTTTTAGCGATAATGGTACCCGTAAATGGCTTGACGAATGACTTCTAAAGGTACAAGAAGAAGGGACCGAAAAATACATGCTCTGCGAATCCTGAATGATTCGCTCAATATTCAGATCTGAAGAAAGCGTAACTGAAGCAAGCGGTCTACGTGTAAGCTTAAAAATAAAATTCAACTTAGAGATAAGTTTTTCGCAAAATTTTTAATAAAACCATATAACCATATAATTCCTGAACAGTAAAACTATAAAAAACTGAAGTCTAGAATTTTTATTGCCTGGGAGACTTGAAAAAAGCAGTATAGCATCGTTAAACGTTGCAAAAATGAGTCTTTGGCGCAACTGTTCCATAATAGCTAAACCAACAAATAAAGGAAACGAAGAGTCAGCTAGTAGAAGTACATCCCAAACCTAAAAGTAACTTATAATAACTATTAAATAATCGTTATATCAAGTACGGTAGAGACTCACATGAAACAATTTATGAAAAGGCAGAACGTGGGCGAAGCAAGTAAGGAACCACGGAATGGCGAATAGTTCTGGCAAGAAATCCATTTGAGTTAAATGTGTATACAGCTCTGCATCATTAAAGGCCAGAAGGTGGTAGAAAACAGCAAGATATTCTAAAACTACAAGTAATAAAAGACCGGTAATTATTACCGATTACCCGGCTAACAGAAGAAATAATTCTTCAAAAACCAGTGCGAATCAAGTTCTAAAAAAGAGGAAAATACCAATTACCTTGAATAACAGGTGAATTGTCCTTCAAAAAAAAGTCATACAAATACAAAGAAATAAACGAATCCAAACATGCAAAAGCCTTGGCTGAAATTGAGTTATGTGAGAAAACTAGAAATCACAAAGTCAGAAGAGAAATGAACAGACTGTACTTACACAAATCATTAAAGTTTAGCACCAGAAATGGCGCAGCTAAAGAATCGAGTCCTTGCCAGTACACATAATTCGGGTGAGCTAGCAGCCAAGTCTTCAAAAGCCTCTTTAATTTACAATGCGCAGAAGGTGAAGCCATCAGCTCATCATACTAAACCAATACTTTCCACAGAAAATGATTGTGATAAAGTGTTTTACGATATATTTTAATGCCAAAAAAACATATCCAACAAATCTTTACTGAAAATCAAAATATACAAATATACCTGGTGACATCTTGGAATATCAACCATAAGTTGGCGGTCTGATAAATGTTCGGGGTAAGTATCATATTGGAAAAAATTTTCTACCTTCAAGGGAGTCAAATTGAGTAACGCAAACCAAATAGCTCCTCTGTGCAAGGGTGGAATATCAGTTGCGCACTCTTCGCGAAGCAAATCTTTTTTAAATGGGTACGCTTTAATTAGATGCGACAAAACGAGCATGCGCCTAGCCTGCAAAGAAGAGCTTTTCTTCAGTCCAAAGCTCTAATTCTGCTAAAAGTACAGAGCAAAACTTCAAGCTGTTACCACGTATACAAAACACGTAACCTGGTATTCTATATCTTTCTCTTTCACAATTAGCGAAAGTTCTAACTTGGCTTTCCTCTCTCTTTCTAATTCAAAACTGATAAGAAACTGATCCTTGTCGATAGCAGCCAACCTCTAAAAATTTCAAATATTTTTAAGACATTAAGAAAAACTAAAACGAGCTACCTTTACACTGATACGTCAACAACCACCAAAAGTTGGAAGCCAAACCAGTTAAAATTGTAAAGCGATAAACCTCTCTGAGATTGTTTGACGGTAAGCCAAAAATTTGAAAAGTAGAAAAACACTTTCTTGAAACGCTGTTACCATATATACAAAAATCCTCAGCCACAACACTGAAAACAAGCTATTTGCCAAATATTCTAAAAAATTATAAAAATAAACTATAAAAGAATACAGAAAACTTGTCCCAAAAGAAAAGTTATGACCAAACCAGCTCCAAGCTTAAAAATGGTTTACAAGAAAATATTACTGTGGCAGCATGTTTATTGGAGAGCTTGCTTTTATTATACCATGATTCAATAAAATGTTTTCAACACTGCTGCCGCTCAGTTTCCATAAAAAATACGACTCTTGCACGGATCGGCTACCCAAAAACTCTGAATCGCCATCATCTGCTTGCCCTTAAAGAAACTCATTTTAGAAGAAATTTTAGGTTCAGTATAAAAAATAACTAGTATTACAGCACCTTTCAGATCATCGATAGTTAAATCTAATTGGTTTCCATTGCTCGAAGAAAGACAAAAAGCTTCGTCCGTTTTATACAAAAAGCTCAGAATCCTCTGTATTTCCTGTTAATTAAATGTATTTTATTATAAAAAACAATCATGGAAGAACACGTGGTTAGGCAGATTACAGAACACCCTCACCATTATTCCTTGTTCTGCGACTTAGATGAATAAGAACACCTACAACGCTTTTCAATCTTCTCAAATCAAAACAACAAGTTTTTTTTTTGAAATATAATCTAGCTGAAAAGTCCGATTTAACTGTCTAAAATTTATTTGGAGTACGGCTTAGAATAGAATCAAGATCAACCACACAAAATTATTGGTTTTTCTCTAAAAGAAAAAAGAGTACAAAATGAAGAACTTTATTTCTGACTCCTTTTACAATTTCCAGAAATAAACTTTGAACTTTTCTTGCGTAATGAATTTTGTGATCTCGTCACGCGAAACAACAAAATTGTACTGAATTAGCATTAATACTCAGCTCAATGTTTCCATCTACTGAGCAATCACTGTATGACTTCCAAACGCCAGAACCCTTGGTTATTCTTACAAGAAAATTGAGTTATTTAATTCAAATGACTGCACTTACCGCTAGAACTTTCTTTGCTTTTGGTCGCTGAGACGGTCGAACGCACAATGTAAGCTCTAATAGAGCAGTCAATTCTGCATTAGCATTCAAAACCACTTTAGGGCGCGCGACACGAATTGCTTCCAAAAGAGGAGACAATGCAGAACCATCAACAGCTACAGATACACTATTAAACTAAGATTATATTTCTGAAACGACCACTTTCAATGTCGAAAAAACCGTTCATACCTTTCCGCACAGAAGAAGCTATGACAGCAAAGATTTGTTTGACACCCCAAATTTCACTCAGCGTCACACCCTAAATTACTAGTCTTGATATAATTCCATACTAGTGGAACCGTAGACCTCAATAATAGAGAGTAAATGAAAACCTTTACAAAAAAGAACAATAGAAGTATTAGAAGTCAAAAAAATTTCAGGAAACCACGAGGAAGCTTGTAAATAGCTAGTCGAAGAAATCAAGTCGATTAGATCAAAACATTTCCATAAGAATAAACCTACTAATAGTAATTCAAGAAGAATAATCCCAAATGCCCAAATGTCACTGGATCTCAGAGCCAACTTCTGTTTTTGTGACAAACCATACAACCTCTCCGGAGAAATATACCACGGAGAAGCTATAAAAGTCTCCATATCTCTCCCACCATTGCTGAGCCAATGCAAACCGTACTGGCCCACCCGAATATCATCTAAACCACAAACAAAAGTTTGGTTAAATTTCAAAAATGATTACGACCTGTACTATTCAAATTTGTGTCTGAGAAATTTTTAAATGGAAGAGTAGTTAACTTTTTGGTATTCCATGAGTAAGAAATAGCAAAGTTTGTCTGAAGAGAACAAATTTTTTAAAAGTAGTTTTTACCTACATCAGTGACGCAGAAGATTGAATCCAGTGAAAGGTAGCCAAGAACGATGTTATTATTGTGCAGATAATTTACAGCTGAGAGGATCGAACAAGATATACGGAGAGCTTGCTTCAAGCTCAATCTGAACAGCATCTTAACAACTTTAAAAAGACGCCTAATTTCAGTAACAATTCCTCACTGCTAAAAAACCAAAATTTTTCATTTAGAAAAGAAAGTGTAGAAAACCCTCACTGATAATTCTTCTGTAATTTATCTGCCAGCGTAACTGTATGGTATTCGGAAATAAGGAATACTGCATTATCTACTAAAAAGTTAATCATTTATTTTATGTTTTCACTAGTCAAGAACTGCTTGACAGAAGAAATACTTTTTAAGGTAGTATTAATAGCCTACAAGTTGTAGACCTGATGAGGTCAACATACGGGCAGAGGTTCGGGTGTGACAGAGACTCTAGTCTTGGAAAACGGCCTAACATACGTGTTGATGATGATGCGGTCGGAATGCCGTTATTTCCCGAAGATTTTTCAGAATCATTTCCCAAAATTGTCACTGCCCCAAACTGAATCATATTATGCAAAACCATTTTACGGAATTGTCAATTTTCTGGTCCATAAACCATTATAAGGCGGTAATAACTGCCTTCCGTTATTAACGAAAAGTTGTTTTTTAATATCGGTTTTTCTATCTGTGTAACTCATACAGATCCGCAACAGAACTCATTTTCCAAGTACACTTTTACTTTCCGACACTACATGCGTTCACCAAACAACTAGTGCCTCAAGATCTGGCTGCCTGAAAATAAATGTAATTGTATAATACGTTATTACAGAAATGATTTCTTTTTTCGTACAAGCACAGTAAACTTCGAAAAATTCATCTGGATTATCTTAAACGAGTCAGTTTTCCGTATTTCTGCGAAAACTGTGTATATTACATCGATTTCTTCCTGGGAAAGAGAACAAGGGATACCCTCCTTCGTCAGTGCTAAAAATCCTAATCGTGGTAATTGCTTCAATTTGAGCATTCTGCAGATTATGAGAACTTTGCCATAAATCAAAAATTATTGATAAAGTCCCTCATTTTCACAAATAATAATTGTCTAAATTTTTCTGTTACAGTTATACCCCCCTTCCTCTTTATAATTATTCGAGGACAAAGCTGAGTGCTTGCAAACATAGCAAAGATAAAATCTAACCAACTATAAATTGTAAAGATGCCGTCAAATCTTGATATTTTGTTGACGAATGCTTTCATTTATATAAAAATATTTAGACATATGTCCAAATTCTACTCTCTTAAGACTGCCACCTGACATTACTTGAGAAGAACAGGATACAGTCTTAAAACAGAGCAAGTAGGGATGGTCCAGAACTGCCCAAAGAAACCCTTTTATTTTTATTCAAAAAAATAAAAATAAACTTCTAGAAACAAACTGCAACACTTCATCAATCGTAAGCGATTGCAAATCTTCCTTTAAAAATGAAAGAAAAAATAAAGGTATTATACTGAAAATACTTGCAGAAACAGAATCCTTCCAGTACCGGCAAATATTTAGCGAACGTTCTCTTCATCGCCACATACTTTTGGCACAACACCAATTTTGAATGCAGTCAACGAACGTCGTACTCGTTCAGAACACAGAGGCGGCTTATTTTCGCTTATGTTTAAAGTGAAGATTGAACATCGGAATATGAATTATTTGCTTAGGAACTTTCTTACGACCGCAAGCTAGTAATCATTTTTAGTACGACAGCTGAGCATTTTTGTATATACAGCCAAACTGTCTGCCCCAACAACTAGTCCTTAGTCCTACTTCGGTATTGCCCTACCTCTGTGGTATATTGTTTCTAACTTGCTGACTCTGGTGTCTAAAAAAGGTCAGCAGATGCATAAAAGAATCTAGACTTAGAACAGCACAGCTTAACGTTATTATGATAACCTTTCTGCAAATGGCGTAGCTACGAAGAGTCAAGTTCAAAGATAGATGATCAGAATTTTAAAAATACATTTTGCAGTTAGAGAGTTCTTGCGCTTGAAATAAACGCTCTGTAAGCAGTAACATCCTTCTGAACAACTTTTTCTCTTCATCCTTCTATGGTTTTAATTTTGCTGAAACTCGTTGCCTAATGCAGAACCAAGCGTACAAAGGATTAGGCAAATGTCTGGGTAGGACCGCAATGTTCGCTAAGTGCTTTGAATCCGTTTTCTAACTGTTCTATATATCTTACACATTTTCTTCAACGAAGATAATTGAAACACCTTTGACATAAGTATATTTAAGTTTATTTTTTTGAGGAATAAATAGTCCAATTTTGTTTCAGCCCTCTTAA